GGGGTAAGGGAGAGGTTTCCAAGCTCAGCCATGCTGGCTCAGGAATTCTGGGAGTTGAAGTCCACAAGTCATGAAGGAGCCAAGGTTCCCCACCCCTGGAGGCTCACCGCTTAGAACAGGAGGATTTAGGACAGGGATAGGCAACCTTGGCTCTTTTATGACTGGTGGACTTCAACTCCCAGAATTCCTGAGCCAGCCATGCTGAGGGCAAAGGGAGAGGTTTCCAAGCTCAGCCATGCTGGCTCAGGAATTCTGGGAGTTGAAGTCCACGAGTCATAAAAGAGCCAAGGCTGCCTACCCCATGGGCTAGGCTAACACAAATCCATTCTCTGGGTTACCCAATGAGGGTACCGGTCTGATGGAAGCAGCTTCTTTGTTACTGGGGCATTAGGCTTTCCTAAGTGTGTGTGTGTGGAGGGGAGGGGGGGGGGGGTAAGGAAAAAAAAAACCAAGAGGGTCCGCAAAACATGCTGCTGTGAGTCAAGAGGACAGGCAATGCCACGAGGCGGGTGGATTGGAACAATCTAGCAGATGGAGAGATGGAATGGGCAGTGTGCCCTCTTCCTCCATAATTTGCTGGATTTAATGGTAGGCCACCTGTTTTCAATCGAGAGAGGCATCGTTTGATTTATGCACCATCCTGGAGCTGATCGTGGCCTTTGGAGCATTCCCTCCGCAAATGAGTAGCGAAAGAATCTATTGCTGCATTCACACACCCTTGTCAGCTGAACCAAGCTCTCGATTCTCGTTGGATTTTCAAGTGAATCTGAATCACAACTATAGTACTTGATCAAAGGATACACATTCAGGGTGTTTTATGCTATTTTGCTCCCCCCCCCCCAATCTTCCTCCTGTGTTTGCCAGGTTGTTTGCGGATGGGGACTTCTGGAAAGTGTTGCTACCACAAGGGAGTAGCATACAGTGTGGGCTTGCATAAGTCAAGCTGTTGCAGCCATTGGAAAGGAGAGATCTCATTCCCTTTCCTAATATGCCATAGTGCCAATGTAAGGGTGTGCGTGCCTGTCACATTCTCCCCTGGGTGCGTTGCAGACTGTGGAGGGAAAAAGTCCAAATATAAGGCATCCACTTGGTTGAGCAAAAGGCAAATTTGAGATTGAGTTTTGTTCTTTACAAGGAAGTGGGGTGTGTTTTCGGTAGAAACTCAGGTGCTCTTCTCTAGCTGGCAAATGAGAACTGATGAGTGGATGCATTTTTGGTCTGATTGGTCTCCTTATTGAGGAGCAATCTCTGGCAGGTTTGCCAACTGTTTCCAAACCTTGTAGACTTGCCAAGAAATCACTTCAACAACATCCTTGTTACCTGAACGAGTAGCCTGTTTAGTTCCTACTAAGAGCCGTGGTGGCACAGTGGTTAGAATGCAGTATTGTGAGCTAATTCTGCCCACTGCCAGCAGTTCGATCCTGACAGGGCTCAAGGTTGAACTCAGCTTTCCATCCTTCTGAGGTTGGTAAAATGAGGACCCAGATGGTTGGGAGCAACATGCTGACTCTGTAAACCGTTTAGAGAGGGGCTGTAAAGCACTAGGAAGCGATATATAAGTCTCTGCTATTGCTTTTTCTTTTTCTTTTAAACCTGTAGTTAGAAGATCTGGTCTTGAGATAGATAGAAGATATCATCTGGAACTGCAGAGGGAGACAAGGCCAATTTTATTTGTGCAACCAAGGTTGTCTAGAGCACTGTTGTAATAATACCGAAACTCCAGGCTTATTGCTTCCTCTGGACAGTGGTGCAGAACAGAACATGATGAGTCTCCTAAAATGGATTCAAAGCAGAAGATGTTTATACATAGTGGAATGGTA